TCCAAGTTTCATCATCATGTGTGCCTGATCATAGCATAGTGGATCTGATACTGCATGAGTCACCCTCCGCACCTTGGCCCCTAACCTGCGTCTGGCGAGGGTTGGAATGGGGTCGGATCCTGCCGGCACTGCAGGTTGATAGCTGTCGAGGAACATGCTGACATCATCACGCGATAAAACGACAAACAAGCACGTGGACCAAGTAGCTGTGGCAATTAAAACCATGTTCTGATTCACAGGAAAAAACCTGTGTGTTCTCTGAGTTTACACTACGGCAAGCAAACAAGTGCAGCGCTCACTTCTTTTTCCGCAGAGCGCGCTCTCGAAGGAAACAAAACAGTGCGTGCCGAGCGTCTTCCCCCAGGGCGCGCAGGGTGGGTGAGAAGTTTTTTGTGCAGAGCTGCTAGCCCAAAGTCATGCGTTTTTTGTAGGTTCGAGCCACGTGTTGCAATGCGGTGCAAGTCATGCCCTCGTGAGAACCTAAGAAAGCACTGCTGCCTAAAAAACAAACGCGCAGCGAGTGCTTGCGCTTCTTCGTGATGAGAAGAACATATTGTTCTCTAGGCATGCTCATGTACTCACGTCAACAGCACAGCATGCATGCAGGCAACCGATGGACAGGTATGCTGGCCGTGGCGGCGCAGCGTGCGTATGCGCAATCCTTCGTAGAGCTGCCGATGGCGAGCGTGGAGCAGGGCGACGGGGACATGCCTCCGCTGGGCGACTTGCTGGCGCAGGCGCGCGACGCTGAGGTCGTCGCGGTCAGCCGCCTGTCGGCCCCCCGCCACTGAACGTCCGCGGGTAGGTAGGGGCAGCCGCTGAGACCAGTCCTGCGGGAAAAAGGTGCGTTGGAAAAAAAAAAAGATGTTCCTTTTCACGGGTGCTGGTCCGTATTCTGGAGTCTGGCCGTCTTTGTGGGCGGGCGACTTAGTCGGGCCGTTGTGCTGGCGGTCTGTGTGTTTGGTGCAACGGTAAGTCCCCCACGTGCGTCAGTCTTGGCCCTAATTGGGGCGAGTACTGCTTCGTTTATTCTTCAGTGTTGACCGCGTGTAAGAACATGAATGCTTCAAACACGCATCCCACGTGGCCTCTCTGCCCGGTGCGAGCTCCGCTGCCGTGAGCACCTGCCGAGCGCGAGAGAGTTTTCCCAGAGGGATGCAGCTCGCATTTCTCCAAGTGTTGAGGAAGTTTGCCGTTGTCAAAATTCAAGCGTGTTTTTTTTTCTTACTTTGAGACGCCTCATATGCTTCATTCCTTCTTAACCCTTTTACACACATGTAAGTTGCAGTGCGCTTGAACAATTGGATCCCTTACCATCCGGGTGCCTTTGTTCCCGAGATGGGTGGGAAGTGGCGGTAGATGCTTTCCCTGGGGTCCATGAAATTTGGCCCGCCCTGCACCAAGTTCTGCTGTTCGAGTCTCTTCCGTTCTGAGCCTAGCCCTTGCCGTCTGTGGCAGGGCGAGCAAGGTGTGAACAAACTTCGACTCTCTGCACCCCTTTGCCCTTTGGAGAGAAAATGAAGGAGCTGCCCGAATGTGTGCATTACCTCATGTCTTGCTAGATTTGGATACCGATCCCACCAGGTCGGGCGCGTCGCGCCATCCACCGAGCTAGATTTTCAACCAAAGCGGTGGCCAACGCCCTGCGCGAAGCTCGCGGGGGCGGAACGGCTGGCTAATCCGGCATGATGCCGAACACTTGAAGTTGCTTTTTGCAAGATTTGGAGGCGCTGGAACCGCTCGCCGAAGCGGCTACGAACCTCGCGCAGGCCACCGTCTCTGCCGATGTCAGCGCCAGTGTCACCGCCGGCTTGGCCATGGTGCGCCTCACAGCTTTGCGTAAACCTGATGGAGGAATGCGCGGCATAGCAACCGGCGATGCCGCTTCGTGGCGAGAACCTTGGCCAAGGAGTGGGCTCAAGTTTTCGTCAGCGGTACTACTCGGTCATATCAGTTCGCGCTCCAGGCCTGCGCGGGAACGGCTGCACTCGCTGCCAGCGTGCGTGCTGCTTTGTCGTTGCGCCCAGGCGCGGTTTTTGTGTCGCTGGATGGCCGCAGTGCCTACGACTCCATGTCCCACGTATTTTTCCTCAGCAAACTACGCGACGTCGCGCCAGAGCTCGCTGTTTTACGGGCGACCCTCCAGCTACTGCTGGTGGGACGCCACCGGGACATGCCGGCCCTGCCGCAAGGCGAAGGTTGCCAACTGGGCGACGCGTTTGCTCCCCGCGCAGTTTGCGTTGGTCAAACACGAACCGCTCTGCCGCGCCGCTTCCGAGCTGCACCGCGAAAATGCCCTGCTGGCCTTCCTAGACGACCTCTACGTCGTTTCGGTCCCAGAGCGTGCCCGGGCGGCCTTGGACAGCACGACAAAAGCCGTCGAGACCCACTGCGGCATAGCCTCCAACTTTGGCAAGACAAGGGCGTTCGCGATGGAAGTTGAGCAGCGGTGTGGCTGTCAGAGAGAAGTTTAGTTGTCCTTGGCACTTGAATCGGCCACCCCGATTTACCATGCACTGCGCAAGCAGCCCAGGTCCGAGTCGGAATCGCCACGTGACGAAACACCTCACGCCTGGCACTGGCCGATCGCGACCCTGCCAGCAGTTCTCGGCGGACTTGGCCTGCAACAACTTCGTGCGTGGCTGCCTCGAGGCCTTCGAGGGCGGTGCAGGCCCCGCTGCCCCTAGCCTTCACGCGACGCCACGTTGGTGCCTCCATTCACGCGTTCGGGGCATTTGCAGCCATGCGCTGCGAGTGGCCGAGCGCCACGAGGCCACCGCGTACCCGGAGCTCGCGCGGGGCGGGCCGCAGAAGCTGGCCGTGCTTGGTTCCGAGGTGGGCGGCCGCTGGAACGCTCAGGCCTGCCGCTTCGTGCGAGACTTGGTGCGTCTGAAGGCCTACCACGCTGCGCCAGCCATCGGGAGGCGCCTGGCTGCAGCCACTGCAACCAGAGGCCGGCTCCGGCCCCGCTCGACAGCATCCTCCACCTCGCCCTTGCGGCCCGGCGCACAGCACCCGCTGCTGGAGGACGTGCTGCACGATGCAGTCCCTCCCACCCCCAGTCCTCTGGACTTGTAGTGCGCAGCATGCACGGGGACGTGGACTCTTCCGTTTTGCGCTGGTTCTGTGGACATCAAGAAGGTGCCGGGGAAAAAAAGATTTTTCGTCCGAGGTACATGCGTGTTTCAATATCAACGAGTAGTTGAACCATGTCGCCGTCAACATCAATGTGGGCAATGTTTGTTTCATTGGCGGTTGTAATAATTCGACTGTTCTCAGCACGGAGCTCCAACTCAATGTTTGTTAGAACTGCTTTGAGTCCTTCCAACATGAACACAAGTTCTTGCCATGTTTTGGCATACAACATCAAATCATTCGCGTATCGGATGTTTGTAAAATTAGCTGATGCTCCAAGGTGAATGCTCTCCTCATTGCAACAGACGGCCAATATGGAATTTGTGGCTGTCGGACACAAAGCGCATCTGTTGAAGAGTACCCTGTCTGTAACAGTTTGAGATGTTTTTCGGAAAGTCCCTGATGTCGTAGTGCTTGAAACAGACTTGGATGATGTAACCGATGAAAAGCCTTTCGTAAATCGATACCTTCCACCCAAACTCGCAATTATACTCCAAAGATCTGACACAAGTGTTGTCTACACCAGTGTGTTGCCGAAAACTTGCTTGGTCGCAAGACTGTTGTGGATCAAGGACATGTTGTAGCTGTGCGTGTATCATTTGAGCGGCGCGCAGCTGAATGCCGATGGTGTCCTAGGCACGGCACTTGAGCAGGCGGCGACAGTCGCCTCGGCTTTGGGCTACGGCACCTGGACCGTTTAGGACGTTGCCCAAAGGTTCGTGAAGATAAAAAGGCAAATGCCTGCGCACTTACCCGAAGCTCGCAGTCGCTGGCCGTTGCAAACGTGCTTTGCTTGGCATGGAGGTGGTTCGGCCGCGAGGTCGTTGCCTGCCGGCAAGTGCAGCGCTTCGCGGCCTCTTTTGAGCGATGGACGGGCCTGCTGGCTGAGGCGGTGCATCACGCGCTCGCCTACTCGCTGCATGAGTTGTCGTCGATCCTGAGAGTGACCTGATGGTGGCGCCGAGGCAGTGCCCACGAGCCGTCTGCCCGGCCCCTTTCGTGCACGGGCGTGCCATTCTGCTGCGTGTACGCGGTGCTAGGCGAAGCGGTATGGCAAAACACTGACTGCAAATGACGGTGTAAGTGCCCTTGTGCGGATGACTTCCGGATACCAGTTATCACCCCATACACGACCACAAACAACAAATTCCATTTGGGCACGAAATGATTTTCTTTAGTGCAAACGCATCCGTGAGGCTAGGCGGTACGGTGCATGAGGTAGCTGCCTTGCCGTGCTTTGTGTTTGTCAAAAGCATGCGCTCTGCCCCGCTTAGCTGGGCTGCAATGCGTGGCGGAAACGGGAGCCAAGCGGACTTGCCTAGCGCATCCTACAACCCGCGGGCTCGCAAGCTAGCGCCATCTGCCGCCGGTTGGCTTTTAGCCTGCATTCCTAGCCCTCGTAGATTTTCGGTTTGGTGGGCTGCTTGCCTTGTGTGCCCACTCCGGTCGAAGACCGGTTCGAGGCACAAGGCCCCCCGTCCCAGCAAGGCGCGGCCCTGATAATCGTAGATTTGACGGTTACTGGACTGACACGGCCGACACGGTACCTGCGACCGTCGACGCGTGAAAGGTTTATATGATTTATCCGGCTTGCATCGTTTACGTCTTGTCGACGGGGCCAGCCAATGTCTGGTATGGCTTTTGGGTTCGGAACCATCATGACATCACGACACACGAAGTAAGGCCAGGAGACGATGACGTCGGCCGTCCTGTATCAGCCATCCACCCTCAGGTCCTTTATTTTTTTTCTTACAGTGTTTTTGTTGGTTCCAAAAAATGCAGCTGCATCCGTGGCTTTCGGCTTGGATGTAGCGGGGCCGGCGTGCGAAGGGGCCGGTCACAACGGCGAGGTTCGCAACCTCGCGATGGATGAGGCTCGTCCATTGATGTATCGGCAACCATGCCGCTCACGTCCGCTGACGTAAGGAATGGAATCATGGAATTAGCATGACAGCAGGCTCGACCTGTTTGTCCAGGTCGTGAAGACAGCCGTGGAAACGTTGGCCGCGGAAAGCTCCAACTTCGTCGAGCAGCTCGGATGCAGCTTCTGTCGTCAACCCCTTCCAAACGACGGTGACGAATCATTGCGGTTGCGTGTTGAACATCAGGATCAGCAAAATTAAGGGAGATGCCAAAGCGCGGGTCCAAGTGTGGCATGGAGAATCTGGAGCCAACATGCCAGACCCAAATGGTGGTCAGGTGCGATCATACTTCCGACGGGTACTGTTTAAGCCGCCGTGGGAGGATGCCACTTGGGTTTCGTCCTCGGTTGGTGAATTTGTATGCTGTTGGCTGCCGACATTATACATGAACACATGTATTGACATGTGTTCATGCATTATGTGCTAAGAGGCACGTCTCGCTTGCAAGGTGATGTATTTCCAGAGCCGGCCCACGATGTGGGAATTCGTTGGAGCCTGAACTCTTCATCTGCACGAGACACAACAAAAACGTGTGTCGTGCAATCCTGCTAGGACGAGAAAGTCATGGGAGCAAAAGTGAAGTCAGACCTTGCGACACAGATCGAGGCAATGGCATGCGTGGTTTCATGCACACGGATCCTCAACCCCAAGCCGTAAACACAACACAAACCACAGCGAGACTTGCCAGGAAGCTGCCCGCTTGAAGCGTCGGAAAGCGGCATTTCCCGAGGCCATCGGGGAATCCGGACACAGAAACTTTACAGTAAACTGCAAAGCTGACGAAAAGCTGACGTGCCACTTCCCAGAACAAAGCCCTGAAGCCTAAAGCCATTGTTTTTGGGCAAAGTTCGGCTGCAAGGACTTTCAGGAAAAGTGAGTGTGACATGTCCACGCCTGCCAGTGCGTAGTTTGCCACGATTTCCAACAGAGCGTTTACTTCGCATCTTGTATATGTTGATTTTTGAATACAATTTCTAATAATACTTCCACGAGCATCAACGAGATCCGCGCAGAGGTGGGTTTTTAGTTTTGACATTCTGGTTCAATCCAATGTCGTAAACCCTAAACCCTAAACCCTAAACCCGTAAACCCCTAAACCCTAAGCCCTAAACCCTTAAACCCTACAACCTGCAACGCAACCTCGGAAGGCACTGTACACGGCTGTGCTGCGCGCTGGCACGCCGGTCGAGACCTCCGCTGTCATAGCAAACTCCAAGGACAGTGAGGCCAGCGATGTTTCATGCGGATCCCTGATAAGTACATATTCGCGATGTCTTCAAAGGCATCCACACTAGGGTCCATATCGTTAAATATCCCGATGAGGTAGGTGGGTTTACTCAGCCAGGACTCTACATAAGCCCAAACCCTGGTCAACAAGTTTACAAACTCCTGAACCCGAGGTCTACGAGCCAATCCGGGGTGTTTACCGTTTCATAAGGGTCTCGGGTCTACTGAATAGACAAATCGGATGAAGATCAGTTATACAAACTCATCTACTCCGGAGGCAAGGGTTCTATGTTTCACAAGGAGGCTATGATGGGTTGGGGGGCTTGGGGCTTGGGGTGGAAGGTCGAGGGTTCAGGTCATGCAGCTTGAAGATGTGATGGTAGAGGCAGCTCGGGACACTGTTTGGCTTTCGTCAGCCTGTCCAACCTGATTTTTTGTATGTTTTCCATTACCTTCGCACGGCCGTGCGACATGAACCCTACGGGAGCTTGTTCCCTGAACCCCAACAAACCCATAAGCGTCAAGCCGCTCCAATTCCCCAACCCCGTCGTAATTCTTGAATGTTTAAGCCCTGATCCCTAATCCCAAAAAGCCGTTGAAACGCGAAACCAGACAAGAACAAACAGAAGCATACCCCCGAAACCCTGACTCTCTTCAGAACCCGAAGTCCTTGCCCCAAAAAACCCTCAACCCCCCTTCATTGTCTTCCGACCGACCCCACCTTCTTCGCTTCCGGGGGCCAGATCGCGGCCTTGCCCATGGATGCCATCGAGGCCTTGATCGGCTCCCTGGGGAACTTGCCAGAGGCCGTTTAGGGTTTAGGCTCCGCGGTGAAGCTGCTCCTAAACCCTAAACCCTAAACCCTAAACCCTAAACCCTAGAACTGCTTTCTTGCTCCAACTCCGGGCGAAGTGGAAGGCCAAAAGGGTTTAGGGCCCGAGGAGGAGCCCGAAGAGCTCCTTGAAACAGTTCGATACCTAGCGGATCTAGAAGGGTTCCGTTAAAAGGGTCCTTGAAAGGGTTTCTTCTAAGGGTTCCTGCAAGAATTCCGTTTGTGGTCCTGTAACCAGGGTCCTTATATCGGAGCCTAAAGTCTAGAGAATTAGAAGTTCTAATTAGAAGTGCTATGTTTTACGGCTCGTTGGAACAATGGGAACATAGTATACAGTATACCCCAGAAGAGGCCCTTGTGTGGATCCTAGGAATTCAGGGATGCTTGACGGTGCAAGCCTAAACTCAAACGCTAAACCCCAAACCCTTCATTGCGCTTGTGTTGCAGTCTGTGGATCCTCCAACGCTCCAGAAGCATGCGGAGGCCTCTGCCGGACACCCTGCGCTTCAACTATTGCCTCGAAGATTTCGGATTTGATTTCGGGCTCCAGCGTTTCGATGGATGGCTCCCTAAGGCTGTAGTGTGCCTTGATTGGGTCCTCCCGCCAGTCTCAACATCCCTCGGCTGCCGAGACCTGCAGAGCCCACAGCTATGCGAACTCCCCCCCCCCCGCCCCCGCGATCTCAGCCCCTGCTCTGCTTCTCTAAACAAACACCCTGAACCACCAGTCGCCCAGGTCAAAGTCATCACGGCCGTGCCCGGCTCCCTCGAGAAAAAGGCCCTGGCCTTCACGGCACCCATGCGAACTTGTAGAGGCTTTCCGGTACAGCAAGCCAAAAAGCACAAACCCTGGACCCCACCCTAAACCCTAAACCCTAAACCCACGCCGGATAAGGATGTCAGCAGGACAGATGCCCCTTTGCCTACTAGGGGTTAGAACAAAAGAGAATTGAAGCCTTTTCTCTTTGCCCTTGGGCAATAGCCGAATGCCCTGTGGTAAACCTGGTCAACCATTAGGGTTTAGGGTTGAGGGTTTAGGGGTTTAGGGGGTCAGGGTTGAGGGTGTTCAGTGAGAGCTGAACTTCTGTAGGCTCAGACATTCAGGCGATTGCACAAGCCCTGATGCAACAAAGGGTTGAGAGTCCCTAAACCCTACACGCTAAACCCTAAACCCCTAAACCCCTAAACCCCTAAACCCTAAACCCTCAACCCTAAACCCCAAACCCTAAAACCTAGTCTGGAAGACCAGAGCCTGACCAGGGTGCCACGCTCGGCGGGCCTCTCAGGAAGAGCTGTGAATGGGGTCTCTTCAAGAAAGGAGATATTACACGTTGCAAATTGTTATTTCCTACATATTGTATTTTTTTATCTTATATCTTATATCTTACATTTATTATATATGACTCAGATTTGGTGGGGAAATCCATGTGGTGAAGCGGCCTTAGGGTCCGCTGATCTTCACTTCGCACTGGAGGTGACATTATGAGGTTCTTCGACTTGGTCATGAAGTTCCAGCCAGAAACTGTCAGGACCTGAGACCCATGGAAGTTGAGGCTGGGTTTTCAGAGTCCGGGGATAGCTTGGACGGGCACATGGCGAAGATCTCAAGGGTGTGAGTCTACCGGCAAGATTGGACCATGAATCCTGCTGTACGGAGGACCCTTCTCTAAGTGGACCCTGACATCTAACCCTTCCAAGGCCGATCAGCGGCTCACACATCAGCGAATCTTGACGCTCAGAGAGCTCTGCGAGGTCTTCGGCTTGCCATTGGGGAGCGTACAATGCTTTCAGGGAGATGAGCACAATACTTCAAGCTTTGCAGTGCTTAGCGGTGTCTGTGAATGTATGTGTCTGCGCCTTCACATCACGAGCTGACCTTGACTTTCTGAGCAATGTGACAGAGGATACTGTCGCTTATGTTCTGGAGTCAGTTTCCACAGCTTTATGCTAGCCGTGCGTGGGTGCTGTACAATCGGCAAGTGTTTGCACTGGGATGTGAAGCAGGTCACTTGTAGAGTCACCGCGAGCTCGGAAGGGGTGCAGATTCTTGCAACCCTAAACCCCTAAACCCTAACTACCCTTCCAGATCCCGTGCAAGCCACCCCGCCCCGAAGCCCTCCTGCAAACAAGCCTTCATCATTTCGTGTTTAGGGTAGACTTTCGGGCTTGGCGGTACAAGCCATGTCCTGAAACCTCAAGCACCGACCCCGGAAGTCGAAAAAGCCCTAAACCCTAAACCCTAAACCCTAAACCCACTCTGCCCCAAAGCTTAACCCCGAGGGATTTCACCGAGGCCAGGCGCCCGTGAATAGCCTCGGTTGTGCATGAAGCGCGCCTAAACCCCAAAGCCTAAACCTAAACCCTGAGCCTTAAACTCCAAAACCTAAACCCTAAACCTAAATCGTAAACCTAAACCCTAAACCTTAAACCTTAAACTCCAAAACCTAAACTCCAATGCCGAAACCGGAAGCCTCCCGAAGGCTGCAGCCAGAGATATCCGCAAGCAGGGCGTGGGCGCCACGGGGACGAAGGCCACGGCCGCGGCTTAGGGTGTTTTAGGTTTTCAGGGTTTAAGGGTTTTAGGGCTTAGGGTTTCGGAAGTTCTGTTTTGAGTTTAGGGATGAGGTAGGGTTTGGGTGTCAGAGTTGGGGCGCAAAAAGCGCCACCCTAAGCAACCCCAGACCCTCAACCCTAAACCCTTAAACCCTAAACCCTAAACCCTAAACCCTAAACCCTAAACCCTAAACCCTAAACCCTTAAACCTTTAAACCCTAAACCCAAAACCCCAAAGCAAGTGTGAGCCAGGCCCTAGGCCTTCTTTGCTCCACGGCGCCATTTCACATCCTGGCCTTGACGCTGGCAGGCGCTGAGTGGGCTCCTTTCAGGGAAGGGAGGATGAGTTTTTTTTTTTATAAAGGTGTTGAAGGGATTTTGCATGGGCTTCATGGGGGCTTTTGAGGGTTCCAGGTTCAGGATCTAAGAGGTTGAGTTTGAGAAGAGTTGGCTAAGAGTCCAAAGGTTTTGGGACTTCGTTGAATCGAAGGTCTCGAGTTTATCTATGCTTGTGATGACTACAATGCTGTTAGGTTTGGTAGGTGCTAGGCGTTGCTAGCCAACTGGCTAGTTACAATACTACTACGAATTACTATTGCGACTACTACAGCTACCGCTGCTGCTGCTACTACTGCCAGTAGTACTAGTACTATTAGAACTACGACAACGACGACGACGGCTGCTACTACTGCTGCTGCTGCTGCTACTACTACTACTACTACTACTACTACTACTATTACTGTTACTACTACTGTTGCTACCTACTACTTACTACCTACTATCTACTATCTACTACCTGGTACTACCTACTATCTACAATCTGCTATTTACTGCTACTGCTACTGCTACCGCTTCGGCTTCTGCTGCTGCTTCTGCTGCTCCTGCTGCAGCTACTGGGACTGCTACTGCCATTGTTACTACTACACCTGCAGATTCAGTTGAGGCTTCTATGTCTGTTGCTGTTTCTACAACGGTTACGTTAGTTGTCGGTCTTCTCCTGCAGCTGCTTGTTTGTTTTGCCGTTTGAGCATCTGGGCTTAAGCATCCTCGAAGTTGTCTTCGCCGTAGAAAGCAAGACTAGCCGAGTAGTTGCTCCAGAATGGCCGCAACCGGCGAAGGCGTGATGCTTTATTTTTCAGGTTTCGCGAAGTTAGAATGCTTTCGAGCTCCCGAAACCTCACCCCCCCAAGCCCCAAACAGCCCTAAACCATACAGGTTTCCGGACGTAGAAGGCTTAGCAAGCCCTAAACTTAGTCCTCGACCCTGAAGCTCAAACCTGAAGCCTTCAACCCATCACCTTAAAGACCCAGCCCACACACCCGCCCGACGCAAAGCCTCAACCGTGGAGCCATGTGGCACCTCGAAAAGCTCGCAAAGTCATTTGCAAAATTGCAAGGGTTGCCGGTTTATTCAGGAGTTTTACTGCTAATCTCGGGAGTTGTAGCTGCGAGATGTTACGAAGGCGAGTGGCTGATCAAGCTTGAGCGCGGCTGGAGTGCATGGATGGTGGGGGAGCAACAGTTCCATGGCTCTACGGATGAGTCCTTCCGCTACAACTTTGGCAAAACAGAGTTCCAGGTGCTGACTCTGTACTACTAGCAACTTACTAGTATTGTGGCTGTTTTCCTTCCTTGCTTGCATTGTCTGTTGTGCGTCTTTCGGGTGTGTCGTCTTGTCATTCTCTGTTTTCGTCGACCATTATAGTTCTGTTTAAGGTTTTCTCTATATCGTAACCATCCTGCAGTGATGGCCCAAACCCTTAAGCCCCAAAACCCTAAAGCCCTAAAGCCCTAAAGCTTAAACCCTAAAGCCCTAAAGCCCTAAAACTTAAACCCTTAAGCCTTAAAGCCCTAGAGCCCTAAACCTCCAAGCCCAAAGCCCCAAACAGGTCGACTTCCAGAGCAACAGCGAGGGCACCTCAACAAATTTGTCCACGGGCAAGGCCCGGCAGATTTGCTTTGTGCCACGAGGCCGGGTGCTGTGTAGGGCTGAAAGGCTTAGGGTTCCCAGAGAGCCCAATACCCATTAATTAAGGACAGGAATATAAGTGGAATATGGCTGAAATTATCGGCGGCTTAATGTTATGATTTGAGGCAGATTCCTTCATTAAGGGGTCTTGGGCTCTTTGGGTTCAGGGCTGAAGGGTCCCGGTTGAAGGGTTGAAGGTTTAGGGCTGAGGGAGGGAGGGGGTTTCAGGAGGGCTTTGGGGAAGATCTGAGTTCGATCCTACTCTTTGGGGCTTTGGGGATTGGGCCTTTCCCTAAACCCTAAACCCCAAACCCTAAACCCTAAACCGTAAACCCAGACCCTAAACCCTAAACCCTCAGCCTTCGAATCTGATCCCAACCCAGCCCTGAGCTGAGCTTCACACCCCCCAAACCCTCAACCGCCGCGCAAGCTAACAAAAACCCCAGGGAGCGATTCTCCCAGAGCCGTAACGTCAAACCCTGAACCCGATGCCAAAAGGCCAGTCACCTCCTGGCATGGAGCGCGAGCCGGAGAGCTCCGTGCAGCCGCAGGCACCGAGTGAAAGCGTCAGTTGAAGCTGGATGCAAACTCCAAAGACCCAACATACTCGGGTTTAGGGGTTCGGGGCCGGCAACACCACGGGAAGCCGCAAAAGGGGGCCAAAACCAACAATCCTTGGATCGATGCTTCCTGCGCCTGCGACGACGAACGTACCGTGTAGCTTCCCTGTGTAGGGCCAGACAGTCAGCAGGACCTGGCACTCTCAAAAGGCGCATATTTCGCGAAGCTGTTTTTTGAAAATGGTTTTCATTCTCAATGCCTTCAAGCTTCGAGCGGCTGTGCACTCGGGATGAAGCTATCTATCAAGCATGAGCCCTGAAAATCCAAATCCCATCCTAACGCCGAGACGCCCAACAAATGTGCAGCCGAAGATCCGGGCACTAAGTTCCGTAACCCATACTGCAGCCTTCAACTGGCGCCCGACAGCTTCGACATCATCCCATCTGCCCGGGCCTATTCACCCGTCCAATAGCGGAGCCGAGACGGCAAACAGTGAACACGGGCTATTGCACGGGAACTCCCGGAGAACGCGAGTGTCGCATGGGCGAAGAGGCGCAACCCAGGAAGCCCTGACACCGGTACGCGGGAAAGAAGCTTCAAGGACGAACCTTCAACCCAAAACCCCTAAACCCCGGAACTGAGGGGACGCTTGTCCCAGTTGTGAGTGCTGAAACCGAGGTGAAGGAGGCGAGCGACCGACCCGCGCAGGCCACGAAGGCGGACGGCAACCTCCCGACATGCTCCCTGACTTTGCCATCTTCTACCCGTACGTTGATGTTACAACGGCGTTGGGTGGATTTGGGTTGACACTTTGGCTTTGGGGCTTTGCTGTGTTTGCTTCGATTCATGATCCAAGTTCTTGGGAGCTGCAGGCTTGCACCTTCGTTCCGTTCTCCTGTCGGACTTCTGTCTTCTGCGACGTACAATGTAGTATAATGTAGCAGAATATAGCACCATACAGTAAAATGTTGTCACAACGGCGCCCCTCATGCTAAGACCTGATACGAGGCTATTACCTCGCAGCTGGCACATCCAGCCAGTCCTACGACGGAGAGTACCACTGGCTCATTGAGCTCGAAAAGGGATGGAGCCCTTGGATGCCGGGCAACGAGCCACGGATACTGTTCAGAAGTGTTCTTTGATCGAATGAATAGATGGATGTCCATGCTAGTGGGAATTTCGTATGTTTCTTGTTGAACTTATCAAAGCAAGCCAGGAGCCCTTTGATGGCAATACGGATCAGCCTCTTCGGTACACCCTGGGACGGTACGACTTCGAAGTCCATTTCGAGGATGAAACCCACGGAACGCAGACCAACCTCACTACCGGCAAGGTGAGGCGCATCCAATGCTTGCGAAAGGGGGAGCCCGTTCCCCCCTGGGAAGGCACCCTGGTCAATCTTTGCTTGTTTTGTGTTTCTGACCGTTGCACAGCATAGTAACTGCATCGTGTCCGAGGCACGGGAATCCGAAGACGGGCTGCCAATGGCGCCGGAGCTGAGCTGGCAGCAGCACCAGCCGAGTCGGCCGCCATGGCCGCGCAGTCAGACCGTCTCGGGCGACGAGCACCGGCGGCGTACCCTTCTGCAACCACAGGGGCACCGGTCAAGGGCACGCAGAAGTTTTCCCTCCGCACCTCCAAGCCAGCTGCCACCACGCGGCCTCAAGTTTCCGAGGCGGCACACAACGCCAGTGTCCCGCTCCGCAGTCCCGGCTCCACTCCCTCCATGACGACTGGGGGGACAATGCCGCGCTTCATGCGGCCACTGAAGTCTAAGCCCTGACGTGGTAGTATGGTAGGTCCAGAATTTGCAACGAAGGTTCTTGGACCGCTCGCTTGCTCAGGCACGTGACCTGACGCGCGGAAGAGGTGCCAGGAATCTGCACGATTGACTTTGCCATAAGTTATCCGTTCGCATCCTTTGGGTATCTGTACAGCGCTCGAGGTTCTGCGAAGTTAGCCGCAGAAGACACAATGCCTTCTGCACTTTGTGCGCTCCATCTGTGCAAGAGAGCTTCGAAGAAGCCTCATAGCCACTGGCAGGCGCTTAGGTTGTTTGGATTCTGGAAAATTTGAATTTGCAAGCTCGATGATTGTCTTCTTGTTCTGTGTGAGGGCCTGCTGTGTTCGTTGCCTTGGCTCGATAGGACAGCCTAGTTTTCATCTTAAGCCTGCCGCTCCGGATCCTAGCCCTGATCCCTTGGCCAAAACTCAGTAGACGTGTAGTGTGTGCTAGCAGATGCCCCGAAAAAGCCCGTGCAAAACGTCGCGCAAGCTCGTCGCAACATCTGTCACATCAAAGGACGGAGACGCGAAACCCTCCAAACCTACAAAGGCCAAAGCGGCTACGGCAAAGCTTCCCAGGATGTCGGGTTAGAGCTAGACTTCACCCCTAAACCCTACACGCCTCAACTAGGGTTTAGGGTTTAGGGTTTATGGTTCAGCCTAAACCTTAAACCAGCCTCAACTAAGCCCAAGCTTTCGCGTTTAACTTCAAGACCAGGCCTGGGTGAGAAGGGTGAGGGCGATGATGTCAAGGCGTGCGCGCATGCCTCGGAGAGGACCTCGGGAGAATAGCTTTAAGACTCCTTACTTTGTAACATGTTGACTAGATCGATTTGATTGTGTTTTGATCAGCTCATTTTTTGGCACACAAACAACTATGAAGTCAAACAGTCGGCATTGAAGGTGTCGGATTTGCGATGTGTAGGCGGTGTAGGGCCAAACAACACGGACCGGAAGCATTGACGGTTGGACGTTCTCGAGTTTTGATCTGGCTGGGGAAAGTGTGTTCCTAAACCCTAAACCCTAAAAGTGATGCATAAGCGCAGTTGTTGGTGGGGTCGTTATCTCAAGAATGACACGAATCACACTGTCTTGTGTGTATACTCTCGAAATCTACCATTTCGTGCTAGGTTGGCCGAGGGGTCAAAAAAAGCGCAGGAGAACAGTTTGCCCCGCTTCAAGCTAGCTCTTTGGTTTTAGTATTTGTGGGGTTTGAGGATCTGGGGTCAGAGACAGGGAGGGTGACAGATCCAGAGAGAGAGAGAGAGAGAGGTTTGGGGTTTAGGATGAGGGTTTAGGCTGTAGGGTTTAGGGAACCCTAAGCCCTTACAAGTAAGGCTTAGTCTGAAGAGATGAAGAGACAGGACCCCGCGTGCCAGGCCTCATACGCCTTGAAAGAAAGAAAGGGGAGCGAGAAAGGTTTAGGGTTTAGGGTTTTTTTTTTTAACTCCCCACTCCAGCCTTGAGCAAGAAAAGGGAAAGAGATATGTGGACGATGCGGCGAGACCAAGTAGATTAACTAAACAAAGATCACGATGAGCCTGAACCAGCAGCTGAGGAACAGGGCTGACAGTCAGGGTATAGGTTTTGGGATTAGGGTTTAGGGTTTAGGGCTTAGGGTTGTGGTTTTGAATCCAAACGATGCTTCCTCAAACACGCCGGCCCAGGACCTTGACTCAACAAGGGGCTTCGATTTCGGCGGGCCTAACCCCTGCTGCCAAGGCCAACTTCATTGAGCGTGTCAACGCAGCGGTGCTGGAAGCCTTGCCGGCAGAGCCGGAACCTTACAGGATGTGTTTTTCCAGTGTCCTACTTGTTAGGAACCGTTAGGCAGTGCCATCGCGCGATCTTGGGCATCACAGTCACTGGACAGTTTCTCGAGAAGTTCCTGTTGCATAGAATTCTGTCCCTTTGTTTTAGCTTCACTTGCCCTTTCTGGCGTGTGGCTGTGCGTGTACAATCGCGTTTCCCTGTGACACCCGTGTCACGCGAAGCTTTTTGCCGGCATGTGCCAACGGCCCGTGTTTAAGAAGGCCCAAATTCCGATTGCCAAGGTTTGGCATCCACGGGGTAGGATCCCAGGCACCTAAAGCCTGAATGCCGAAGGCTTCAATACCAAATCCTAAAACCTGTGGTGATCCAGTTCTGGGTTTCCTTTGCGTGATCCCTGTTATGCGGGCTCATCCGTGCAATGTAAGAGGCAAAAGAACCTTCAAGACATGAAGCCTTAAACAGTAAAGCGCGAAATCATTCTTGCCTTAAGCCTTGAACCCAATAACCGCCAATCCTAATTTGCAGAGCCTTTCAGCCCCCGAGCAGCCCCCGAGCAGCCAAAGTTTAAAAGGCACCTAACCATAAACCCTGCACCGCTAAGCCCTAAACTCCCAGTTTCCTGAAGTCCAAAAGCCTTAAGATCCTTAAGCCCGGAAGCCAAAACCTGAGTCACTGAATCCTTTAAACCCTCGCCCTGGAGCCCTGAACCTTGAACCCCACCCGGATCACTAGTCCCTAGAGGCCCTAGACATCCCCGACTTACGTTACCTTGGCTTACATAGTGTGGCTCATGGCGAAGCGTCGAGGCCATGCACCGGCTTAGTTTAAAAACCATAGCCCAAAAACCCAAACCCTAAACACAACGCCCGAAGCCCCTAAACCCCCACAAATCGAGAAGTGCACCAAATCAAAACCCAAAACCCGAGCCCCCAAACTCTGAGCCTAAGCCCTAAACCCGAAGCCCCTACACCCGAAGCCCCTAAACCCTAGACCCCTGAGCCCTTAAGCCCTGAACCCTTCACACTAAACCCGATACCCCTACGCCCTACACCCCCTAAAACGCTGCAAGCCTAAAGCCATCACCGAGGCAGCTCGTGAAGCTGGCAGAGGCCTGTGCCAAGCCAGGGGCTCGGATGCCTGAGAGCCGAAGCAAGGGTTTGGGATTGGGGTTGGGTTTAAGGTTTAACATACGGGCCTTCATAGTTAGAATAGGGTTTTGGGTTCAGGGTCAGGGTTTTAGGGTATACCTGGACCCTAAAGCATCTACCTTTTCATGTACCCTTTGAAGGGTTTAGATAAGGAGACTACAAACAGGATCCCTTAAAGGGCAGGTCTTATAGGGTCCAGGTAGCGTTTTAGAAGTTAAGGGCTTTAGAGTTTTAGGGTTTAGGGTTTAGGGTTTTAGAGTTGTTTAGTATTGAATGGCTGTTTTCGCTCCCTTGATAGCCTTGGTGCACACAGAACGCCCCTAGCAGAAGGGTTAGGGCGGACAAGGGTTCCTCATCAAAGGAGTTCTTGCAAAAAACTTCATGATGGGTTCCTTGTCAGGGGTGTCTTAAGGGACCGCTGCCACCATTCCGGACAGGGGCCCGCTACACATTTCTGTTTTGAAGCCTTCCGTATCAAAGGGAAGGGATCCTTGTTGAAAGGTTCCTTGTCACGGTTTTTACTTTCCGGGATCCTTACCACGGGTTGGGCTTGTGGTTGAGGACTGTAAGGAAAGGTTTCAGGGTTTAGGGCTTTCAATACCGCAGCGCTGCTGGTGCACTGTAAATCTGCATTCCTTTTTTCTGGTTAGTCTCGCGCTGCTCAGGTCCAAAGCGGTCGCAGAGACCATTTTGGCCACAGTGGCAAAGGCATGTGCAGGGGCTGGCCGCTGAGAACCTGATGGCAGTTGACTTTATAGTGAACCCCAGAAAGTTGGAACATGGATTTAGGATGATTCGTGCTAGGATTCCCTCTGCTCTACCTCAAGGGCATGGGGATAATGATGTTCCAACTCTCTCGCTTCGACTATAGATTCGTTTGCTGCTTTTCTTGTGTGCCTCAGGGATGTGCTGACCTAAACCCTAAGCCTCAAACTCTCCAAGAGCGCTTAACGTGAAACGACATGTGCGGAGACGGTTCACGCTACTATAGGGGCCTGAATAATTAGAATAGTGTTTCGGGGCTTCCTTAATAATTATAGTATAATAGACCCAAAAAAAGCTTATTCTAAAGCCCGGAAGCAAAAAATATTAAGGCCTCTATATGACGTGCTGGTGTTCTGGGCCGGAATCGTTGCGGGGGCGTGCAGCGATTGGGTGGAGGATGTGGGAGAGAGGTTTCCAGGTCGCCAGGCCAACCCCAAAACCAAACGGGCATTCGAAACTCGGGGGTCCCTCGAACTGCATGCGCCACCATTTCTCCACATCCAGAGCTCCTTCGGGTCCTGGGGATGTCCGGTTTGTTCGTGGCGCAGGTTGCAGACTCAGGGGCTGTTTGTGAGGTACCATTGGCAGGCCCATCAGGTCCACTTCTCAGGTTCAGAGCCAGCCTCTGAAACCAAACAGTTTAATTGAGAGTTTCGGAATAATGGTAGGGCATGCTAGAGCTTCAGCATCAAGACCTAACAAAGAACATGTCATGAGCTGCCACATGTTGCGGTGTTGCATAAGTCCCAGACACCACACCCGGTGCCTTGCATCCCAAAGAAACAGCAGCCCTAGACCCTCTGCCTTAACTTGACGAACCACCCCGAAACCCAAAATTCCCAAAGCGTGGGAGTCCGTGCCAGTCGCCCCCCCCCCCCCNNCCCTAAACCCTAAACCATAACCCCCCCCCCCCGGCTAAAGTCACTAAAGCCTTAACCTGCCCTTAGCCTCCCAGGCCGTTGCTAGCTGGTCCATGGACGACGTCTCGAAGCTTCTCTTCGCTTTAGCAAAGGCAAAGCTCCCAGAAGCCGGAACCCTACACCCCAATAGTATAATGTATAATATAAAATATATAATATACAATATATAAAAACAATATATAATACATAATACGTAGTATATAATACATAATATATAATATATATATATAGTACATAATATATGATATATGTTATATAATAGCATACAATATAGTATATTATATAACATAATACTTTAAACCCTCGGTGTTCTTCTCGAGGTTCCTGGTGACTCTGTTCTGTAGCAAGACCCCATGCGAGCCGTCTGAAGAAGAACGGCCGAGCCCGGCTGCTACGTTTGAGGGCTCTCTGCGTGCTTGTGTGTTCCTCGTTTAAAAGAGAAGACACATATCTATCTATTTATTTGTTTATCTATCTATCTATCTATCTAGCTATCTATCTAGCTTTCTATCTATCTCTCTATCTATCTACGTATCTATCCAACTAGCTAACTAACTATCTATCTATCTATCTATCTATCTTTAAACGAGGGCGTCTACAAAGGCCCTGTAGGGTCTGAAGTTTAGGGTTTAGGGTTTCGAGATCTTGGCTTCTGGCATTCGATTTGCAGTTTTGGGGGGCCTTGCTTTTACAGTCCTGCGTGTAGGGCTTTTTCCGGTGGGGGACATAAGCAGGATTGCATTCTATCCGTTCGACCCTAAGCCCTAAACCCTAAACCCTAGCAAAGCTCTGAACCGAGACCCGAAGTTCCAAGCCGCGCGTCCCATAAGCCGCAAGGGCCTTTGGGCTTGTGGTATAGGGTTTATAGGGGTGCCATAAGCCCTAGCTATTTCGGGTTTAGGTTTTAGGTTTAGGGTTTAGGGCCAGGCGCCAAACTTCAAGCCGTAAACGCAGGTGTCGACCGCTTATTCCTAAACCTGCGTCTCAGCGTGCACCCAGGGATCACCATGCCCCATACTGTAATTGAGGAATGAACGACACGTCATGTCTGGGCAGGATGAGTTACTTGTGATGCAACATACTGGGCTGCCCATGAAGACGTTATCACATCCTCCCACTTGGCTTTGCGGATTGCGGTACAATCCTTACACCCGGCCCATCAAACTTGATAAGAAGCAACCAGCCCGCCACCCTCAGCCATGAACCCTGTGTTGTAGGTGAAGACCGGTGGGGACCTGCCGGAGATCTCTGAGCTCTACGGCCGGGCGGCAGAGGCTCACGGGTACCAAACTCCTTTTCGAGACTCCGACTCCAAAGCTCTAGTTAACACTCAATCCGAATGATCAGACTTGACTAGCAAGGAGGGGCTAGCACCAGCACAGGCAGCGGTCGTATTAAGGCAAGAGTTGTAGTAACAGCAATAAGGGTAAGAAGGACAGTTTACGATCTTAGAAGCAGAAAGTATTGGTGGTGGTGGTAGTAGCAGTAGCAGTAGCAGTAGCAGCAGTAGCAGCAGCAGTAGCAGTAGCGGTAGTAGGAGTAGGATTACGAGTACGAGGAAGCGGAGTGTAGTAGCACTGTACTTAGTAGTTGTAGTAGGACGGCAGCAGCTACTTATTCTACTATCGCTTCTGCTGCTGCTGCGATTGCTACTGGGAGTGCTGCTGTAACTACGACGACGACCGCTGCTGCTGCTAGTCCTGCTGTGACTACTGCTGATGCAACGTGGAACGGTATGATGCCGTCGATGGCGCTTCTGCTGGCGCCAACGCTACAAGGAGTGCTGCTGCACTGCTGAACAGAAGTAGAAGCAAACCCTTGGCGACGAGCCCGGCTTGCCTCTGCTGTTAACTCCAAAACGTTTTTTCCTTCGGGCTTTGGCGCCGCATCTTCAGTCGGGTTTGAACACTCTCACGGCTTTGTGCCGCCAGGTAGCATCCGCGAACCTTGCCAGCGACTGGGACGCAACCTCCCTCTCAAGAACTGCATTCGGCTACACTCTAAAGCTCAAATCCTACCTAAACCCTGATGTGAAAGATATTAAAAACAACTTTAGCTTTACCGAGACCCTAGAAAACACCTGCCAAAGTCCGAGCGCGCAGTGCTCTAACCCCACGGCAGCCTCCGTGTTGCTCCGCTGTACTCCTTATGTAAGGAAAATACCTTAATTTACAGGGGGCTTAATATTATGATTTAAATTTAAAGTATATTCCTTCAGGGGTGCTCTCTGGGTCCATGCTCTTCAGTTCCAGAGCTCTGAAACCCGGACCTACTAGAAAGCCAGCCAAAGGAGCTCAGCGAGAACTTGCATGCTTGCAGACGACCTGACTAGGTCCCATCAGCTTTAAAGCAGGCCCGGCATCGTAACCCCCAAACCCCAAACCCTAAACCTGGAACCCCAAACCCCCAAACCCTCCCAAACCCTGAACTCTAGAAGTTGCCGGCCTTGTGCGAGTGTGAGAGTCGAAACTCTAGAAGTTCTCCAGTCCCGATACTTTGTAGCCCTGCCAGCTTCAGATTTCAGCCGGAGCCCCACACTTGACCCTGCAGCCCTGAGCCCTAAACTGCCCTAAACCCTTAGGGCAAAATAGGGTTTAGGGGTTTAGGGCACAGAGCCTGGGTTCAAAAAAAGGGTTTTGGGCTATTCTGGGTCATCTGCATGATCACGTCTACCGCAACTTTGGATTGATTTCCGTTTTTACAGCTGCGGATTCTCATGCGGCTTCCAGGTTCGACCCAGTTCCTCTGTGCTTCAGATTTTTCAGATGCTGAGGGTTTCTGCCACAAGTGCAGCAGCTCCGGGAACATGTACAAGTCTGTGCAAAAAAAAGCTCTAAACCCTAAACCCTCGAGATCCCAAGCCCTGAGCATCGTAGCACTTCCGACGTTGGCCGACGTTTCCCGCAGTCGAGGTCTCTCCGAGACGCAGCTGATCAAGGCAGGTTTTGCAGAGACGGTCAACCCGAAATCACATTTGTGGCAGTTCCTTTAAGCACCTCAAGCCCTGAGCTTAAATTCTAAGCCTGCCCTCCGAAATCAAAGAAAAAGCATAACCTCCGAAGCCCAAACTCCTGAGCCTCGGTCCCTAAACAGCAATCCTTACGTCCAGAATCCTGCGTAAACTGCGAGCCCCAAATCCCAAACACTAAAATGTGCCGAATTTCGTTGGGCCTGCTGCCCAAAGCCCGAACAGATAAAGAGCTCTAGCGGTTGCCCTAGCGTTCTCATCTAGGTCCCATAGGAAGCCAGATTGCCAGGGTACATTTACTTTATCCCTAAACAAACCCTACACTCTAAACTCTCAGGCGAGACCCTACACCCTAAAACCTCAAACCCTACACCCTAAAAGCTCAAACCCTACACCCTAAAACCTCAAACCCTACACCCTAAAACCTCAAACCCTGCACCCTGGACCTTCAACAATTCAAGCAAAGAGCTGTGCTAGGTGGTTTTGGCCCTCGGCCGTATCCCCGCTTGCAAGGCCGAACTTCTGAATTCGCGGGATTCAAGGAAGCTGGTGTTGACTTGACAAGGGTTCAGGTTTTTGGGTCCAGGGTTTCGGGTTTAGGGTTTAGGATTTAGGGTTCAGGGTTAAGGGTTTAGGGGTTTTGGGTTGATTCCTCGTTGTTTGCTGTTTGCATGTATTCTGCAGATATGCACATACCTACATACGTACGTACACGCCATGCATGTATACATTTGCATACACAGACAGACATACACGTACATGTATACCTACATGCATACGAACATACATGCAAACTTTTATGCATGCACACATACACGGATGCGTGTGTTTGTGTCTGTCTGTGTTGTCAGTATACATAAGCAAACAAACAAGTAACTAAAGCTCGTATATGTATATATGTGTGTGTAGTAGGTAATAAGTAGGTTTATAAGGACCCATACCAGGAAAGGGATGCTAAGCGGGGTTATGATACAAAGGCAGTGTAAACTAACTACTTACTAAGCCCTCTCGACCCTCCAAGTAGAAGCTATTCACTTTTGTTGGCAGTAGGTAATGACAAGGCAGCACAGCCAACAATGCAGTTCACATGCCTGATGTATCGTGTCAATGTGTTCGAGCATACTTTCATGCATGTTACATCCAGGAGTGCCCCAGCTTACTAGGCACCACGATATATGAGGCTTTGGGTTTAGGGTTCGAGAGGCAAAGAGGGAGCAGAGGAAGCCCAAATCCCAAAGCAATCTGTGCAGGAGTTTGTGTCAACGGCTGCCGAACAGGTTGTGGCATCCTCAGCAAAGCGTAAGACCCTACCTAAACCAGCGTACATCCCAAATCTTTGTCCGGGTGTAGAAGCGCTCATTTTTTGGGTTCGCCGATCCTGAGCCTTCCAAAATGATAGTGGGAGTCTCGCTGGTGCATCCCCGGCATTGGTTGCTTGTCATCATTATTGCAATAGTTGTGAGCTGAACCTTGGAGCTAGGCTGATGCTGACTCTGGGAGTGGCTTCTGTTTCGATGGTATAGTTGCTCGCGATTCTTGTGCTCATGCAACGCCGCAATTCATTAGAGTACTACACTTCGGATCGAAGCTAAACGTTACCTTTATCCCAGACCCTGAATATTCAGTCTAGTCCAAAGTCTGGTCCTTGACCCTGAAATAGGACTTCCTGGAACAGTAGAGCAGGGTCGCGAAAGAATAGCCCTCCATCCTACACCGATTTCTAAGGTCCCTCTACACGAAGAGCCACAACTTTAAAACAGCACTCAGGATTCCCTACTTTGATTATCTTGCATAAGTCCTTCAGGGCCCAGGCAATGTGTACAGTTGAAAAGCAGTCCTGGGTTTTTCTAAACCCTAAACCCCCTTCCTGCTCTATGCATGAGCAGTTGCAGCTGAAGGGCTTCAGTTAAAGTGCGGCAGAACCCCAACTGAAACCAGGGTCTTGGCTTAAAGTTAGGTTTCAGGGTTTAGGGTTCAGGGTTTAGGGCTTGGGGCTTGGGGGTTAGATTTTTAAGGGAAGAGAACCCCTAAAACATTCGATGGTTTATGCTTGCCAAGAACTCCTAAGGCCCTGTTGGCAATAAAAAAAGAACGCCCAAGGCCCTTTTTCTGTGGAATTGCATGGAGGCTTTATGATTTAGAGATGGGTGTTTGTCTTTGAATAGAACTCCCAAGGTCCGGAAGAGATAAGCCCAGAAGGCCTTAATCTTTCCAGCTCTTCCTGTAGTCCTGATCCGACCTGAGAGACCTCGTCTGGCAGTGTCCCCCCAAAAAAAAACCCTAAGCCCTAAACCCCAGACCCTAAATACTTAACACTAACCCTGAACCCTAAACCCTAAACCCTAAACTCTTAACCCTAAACCCTAAACCCTAAAGCCCAGACCCTAAATTACTAAACCCTAAGCCCTGTCTGTACCACGCTGACCTAGGCCTATTGAACCTCGCCTCTCTTGTCCGAAAAGTGAGAGCGTAAACCCTAAACCCTAAGCCCCAAACCCTAAACCCTAAACCCTGAACCCTAAACCCTGAACCCTAAACCCTGAACCCTTAACCCTCAACCCTTAACCCTTAACCCTAAGCCCTAAACCCTAAACCCTGAACCCTGAACCCTAAACCCTAAACCCTGAACCCTAAGCCTTGAACCCTTAACCCCAAACTAAACCCTTAATCCGAAACCCTAAATCCTTAGCCCTTAACCCTTAACCCTAAACCCGAAACCCCTAAATCCCTGAATCCCTAAACCCTTAACCCTTAACCCTCAACCCTAAATAAACCCTTAACCCTGAACCCTCAACCCTAAACCCTAAACCCTTAGCCCCGAACTAAACCCTTAACCCGAAACCCTAAACGCTAAGCCCTTAACTCTAAACCCTTAACCCTGAACTCTGAACCCTAAACCCTAAACCCTAAACCCCTGAATCCCTAAACCGTAAGCCCTGAACCACCCTAAATCCCTAAGCCCTAAACCCCCCCAACCCTAAACCCAAAGGTCCAGAAGATGACAACGATTGCAGCTCCGCAGCTTCTCCTGCTCACGCAGGGCTTGGCCAGCCTTGGCCGGGGATCCCAGGGGGGGGGCTTTAGGGTTTAGGGTTTAGGACAGTAGGGTGTTTTGGGTTTTAGGGTTGAAGGTTTGGGTGTCTTGAGGGATTTTTTTTTGCTGGGTTCTGAGGGCTTTGGGCTTTTGCGGCTTGGGCTTCGTTTCATTCTTTTTTTGCCGGGTGTTGAGGGCTTGGGCTTTACGCTTTTAGGCTTCCAGCCGTTTCAGGCTTACAGTTGTCGTTTGGCTGTAGGTTTCGTAGGGTTTCGGGACTAGGGAGTTTATGACGAGGGTCTAGGCATTGAAACAGGAGCAGCATCCAAAACAGGGCCTGCGACGTAGAGATTGGTTGTGTGCCGGGAGCAATTTGGAGCGAGTCCCGCTCGAGGATTGGGCGGCCTTGAAACCGTAGAGCGTAAACCCTGAACCGTGGTTTATTGGGTTTAGGGTTTAGGGGGGTGTTGGGGTTTAGGGTTCATGGAGCGCAGGCTTCTGCATTCCGCCTTTGCGAGTGAATGAAGAAGCTTGAAGGAAGTAACATGCAGTTTCTCAGGGTTTCCATTTTAAATTATAGTGTACTAAACCCGAAAACCCTCTTCTAATCATTCCGGCCCCCATTTCGAACCTCTGTGCTTTCGACCCTGCCACCTTCAGCTGAAGGCGCAACCAAGCTCTGGTTTACCTTGGCCTGCCAAAACGCACTTTGTAGATTCCTTGTAAATTCTGCATTAGTGCTTATCATGCCAAAAATGAGGTCGTGGTAGGGTGTAGGCTTCAGGATCAGTCAGGCCGAGGGGCTTCAATCCCATGTCATAGAGCATGAAAGGCAGTCACGGTTTAGGTTTTAGGGTTATGTTATGACCTTGCTGCTTCTTCCGTTTCCTGTGCTGCTCCTAGATAATGACGTATCCGTCACCTTTTCGCTTCTTTTGCTTGGAAAGGGCAACAAACGCGGTTTCGCGTTTGCTGCACATATCTGCATGGCGAGAGGTTGCTTTCGATGTCTTTGAGCCGCACAGACTGTGCATATTGCATATCTGTCACCAGGCTCCATGGTAGCGAAGCCCCAACCGTGCATCCAGAACCCCCAGGCCCAGACTTCTAGAGCCCTGGAGCCCTATATCCTTCATATCCTAAACATAACCCAAAACCCTAAAGCCTGAGTTGTGAGAGTGTAAACCCTAAACCCTAACCCCAAGCTCTCAACTCTCTCACAACCCTACGGATTTTTCACCGTGTTGATCTCCGCATGACGAGCCGAAAGCCAAGCCTGAGGTGCAGACCACGCATCCCTGACAAAGCTTGCCGGGCCTTCAGGGGCAAGTCAGAGGGTTTAGGGATTTAGGGGTTCAGGGTTTGGGTTTAGGGTTTAGGGTTTAGGTTTTAGGTTTTAGGATTTAGGGTTTAGGGTTTAGGGTTAGGGTTTAGGGGAAAGGGTTTAGGGTTTAGGGTTTAGGGCTCCGTAAACCTGAAAACCGAACCCTAAAACCCCTGACCAAAACGCTAAACCCAAAAACCAAAACACACTCTGCCTAGCGACTCGTTCAGCAATGCAGATTTCTGTTCTATGACTTGAGGTTTACTTTGCTAACTGCGCTGTTTCGCTTGCAAACTTGTCCAACAATTTCATGCCAACTGCGGCTCCTGAACCTCATCTGGCGAGTTGGAGCGTGAGAGCGCAGAGTCTGAATGCCTTAAACCCTAAACCACCAAAACCAACAAACCTTGTTGTAATTAGTAGGACTCCTAACAGTGGATTCATGCAGTACGCACAGTAGCACCTTGTACCCGCGACATGCTTGCATTCGGTAGGAGCCAAGAGTGCAGTTCATTTCACACAAGTTTACATCGCAAGTGACATGTGGACAAACATATGGCATAGGCATAGAGTGTGTTCTTGTAAGTTCCTGTTCTCCAATTTAGCATATCTGTGCAGCAGAAGTGTGGGCCGAAGCAGCCCAAGAGTACAAGCCAATGTGTCGCCAAGATAAAAGCCTAGTGCAGTCTACTCGGTACAGCGAACCATCATGCGACTGTGGTGTTGTAGCTGAACGGCGAAATCACCAGCAGCAGCACCGCCATCTTCGTCAGAACTGTGGGAAACTGAGTACTGAATCAAAGCAGCCGTGTAGCAAGGTAATTTATGTGATACTCTCTGACGCTATCCCGTGGCAGGCACTCTGCAGCACGAACACAATATCCCGGAAACTGCAAAGCCCTGTACTTGAAGAATGCAGCCACAAACACTTGTTGCTAGGGTGTTACTTCGCTCTGCTTGAGGCTTCGTTTGTTGAGACACAATAAAAGATTGGCGTGCCTTCGCAAAAGCGCCCATATCATTCACGGAATCTTCCAACTTTTCAGACCGTGACCAAGCAATCGAGACAGAGGGATGTTAAGCATATCATGGGTTGTTTTCGTTTCTGGGAAGATGCTACGATTGACTGCGGCCGTGCAGGAATGCAGCATATGCGAAGCACAGAAGCCAGCCTAGGTCGAGTTCTGGGCAACCACCGACGGGGAGGTCCACGCGGGCGGTCGAAAAGAGAGTCACCAAAAAGTGCTTCAGACCATGCTCAAGCGCAGGAGATCAAGCTCAAACAGCTCTCAGCGGATCAAGTTGCCAAGCTGGCGCAGGCTGGATTTATTCCCAAACTCTCAAAACTGGCATCCTGGATTCCGAGCTGGCCTGTACTGGCAAACCTTAATAAGCCCTAAACCCTAAATTAAAACGGCCAACAAATCTTAGACATGTCCCCCCAAAGCAGACGAGAGCCGAGACGGAGCCGTAAACCTCAACTCTCCAGCCGTGCAGCCTAATCTGTCTGGTGCTTAGTAGGGAATGGGGGAATGGGTTATAGGAACTACTGTAAGGGGCCTTAAGGGACTATCACAACAATCCATTCCCCCATTCCCTACTAAGCACCAGGCATGAATTCAGAAGCCTGAATAAGTACCCACATTGTTCCCTGAGGCCCCTATTCCAACTCTTAAGGAGCCTAGACCAAGCCCTTAGAGTAACCTTTGCAGTAACCCTCGTAGATCCCTTTAAAGAGGAAGCCTGGCTTGATTTACTGTCTGGTGCTTAGTAGGGAATCGGGCAATGGATCCCTATGATAGTCCCTTGAGGCCCCTTATAGTAGTCCCTATAACCCATTCCCCCATTCCCTACTAAGCACCAGACATTTTAAACGAGCACTATTCTTGGCTACGGAGCCGAGACTGAACCCTAACTGCTTGTTCGAGCGGGAGCCCGATCTTGAAAGACACCAAGCGGTGAACCCTGCCGGGATCCTGAAGAACCTACTTTTGAGGGTTTTATCAAGGAAATCACAAATGAGGAGTGCCAAAAAGGCAGGCTATTTCGAGCTCAGATAGTTCATATAGAGGCCTTGCTCATTTATTATTACTCCCACTCCTCAAAACCCCTAAACCCCAAACCCTAAACCCTAAACCGTAGCCATTTTGGCTCAAGACTGGGCTCTAAAGTACGGTCTCGGGAGTCTCGCGTAGGCACAGCAACAACAACAGATGCCAAGCAACGACTCCACGAACCCTGCACCGCCTTAAGCCCTGCATAAGCACCGGGCCCCTACAGACCCTAAACCAGCATCCCGAGAGCTTAATGGTTTTGTAGGTCACAGTCATGGAGCTGCAAACTTCAAAGGCTGTGCAGTCAAAACTCCTAGAGCCCAGATCCTAAGCTGATCATGCCGCAGTCGACAAATCTGGAGGATCTTGGAGGATTTGAATCGGCACCATGCAGGGGGCCTCGTCCAGCTGACACCTGCCAGGCTGCTGCTGACGCCACGCACCTTCAGCAGGAGGTTGAGGAGCTGCGACAGCAGTTGATCTCAGAGCAGACCGCCAAGGTGGAAGCAGAAAGGCGATTGGAGGCCAAGCTTGAGCTCGCAAAGGGCGAGCTGAAGGAGCTGACGGACAAGCTCGCCCTGTCCGAAAAGGCTCTGGACAAGGCCCGCCGTGCCCTGCGAAAATACGACGAGCAAGGAAAGGGCCGAATGATCGCTTCGGTGCTCAAGGCGGGCGGCGTGCGAGTCTGTGCCGGCACCACTCCATTTCGGGGCGGTGTAAACTCCCACCGCTTGAAGGCACAGGCGTCTTCCTTGCCTGCCGCATCCTCGGCCATGCAGGTATCCCCGCTGCTGTCCGCACCGGCGTTGCAACCATCACCGCCGTCCTTGTCTGCTCAGGATCAAGTGGTGCCCGCAAGTACATGGAAGCCCTTGGCCGTGAGGGAACGGCAAGGGCACACTTTGAGGCCTCCGAATATGGACCGGCCTACATTGGGCTTTGCAAAGGCTCGCCGATGACCTTGCTCCAGCATCCTGAAAATGATGCTTACTGGGCGTACTTCGCCGTGGACGGACGGCGGGGCTTTGCCCCGCGGAACTTTTTCCGCCAGGCCCGATGAGGACGGCTGGTGCCTCTTTATGTGACGGAGTCCCGGAGTAGTTACAGCGTAGGAACGAGTGTGATGTGTTCAACTCTTGCGTGGCCTGCGCTAGTCGGCATTCAGCGCCAGGGCTGCCACATGGAGTGCTGGGGGTAGGGATGCCGGTTCAAGGCGACTTCAAGCCGGGTTTGCTTCAACGAGAGCCCGACACAAGCCAGTTGGTTTTCGTGCACCTGCAACGCGCAGCTTTCTCGGGTTTCTGCTTTGCTTGGGAGAATTGAAGCAGAACCTGTGCCGCGTCTTCGACGCCTTGTGACGCCAGGTAGTTTTTTAAATTGTTAGGCACGGAATGTCAAGGATTGAAGACGCACTGCAAGCCAGGAAATCTAATTCAGTCTAATGTTAAGCGATGCATGTCATTCACAGAACCTGCGTTTGGCATGCAGTGCAAGAACCGCCGCGAACATGGGTGGTTTACCCCATTGACGAGCAGCAGTCAGTACTTCCATGAATCAGCAACTGAAGGCAACAAACATTGGACATCGCGCTTCGTGGGCCCCCCCCCTACTTGTTTTGCCATACCCGGACTCAACAGCCGTAAAGCGTTTGGACTCCTGCAAAGCAACGCCGCCAGACTTGCATGGCGCGAATTTGTTTGGAGATCCCACACCCTCGACGACTATGTAGACTGTTTGGAAAGGGTCGTCATTGACTTTCAGAATAGGAACGACGATGGAAGTAGTCCACTCCTTCTCGCTGATGACGATAATGATTTCATTGAGTTCCTACTCATGGATCTATGGGGGCGATTTGATGCATCTTCAGAAGCTTTGGTGTGGGAGGTGTTTGGTTGTCACCTACCTTGCTTCCAGATTCTGTTACAACAAGCAACATGCCCGCGCAGGTGCGAATAAGCGAGGAGGGAGGAGAAACACCACACAACGCAGCGCCCCAATGATGCATGATGATGAGATGACGTCTGCTGCTGCTGCTGCTGCCTGCTATCAGGGTAATACACTGCGTGTGTTGAGTGTTCTGAGCCGGACGCCCACTCCATCTCCGTTTCACCACATGACCTTTGGACTGGCACGACCCCCTGTGGCGGTCACTGAAGGGCTGGAGCCAGAGACGCTAGCGCGCTTGCTGCACCGCCTGTCAGTGGACGAAGCCGACTACATCGCCGGACACACCAGCCGACTGGTCAGTGGCATAATTTATTACAACGATGAATTCACTTCCAGGCCGAGAATTGAGAACTACATGGAAGATATCCTGGAAGTTTGCAAGCTTTTTCAGAGAAGCGATGCACGCCCTGCCCCTCATCCGCTGATATGGGGAATTCAGAGAACAGTGCATATACAGCTGCTGATCCGACTTTGGTTACTGTCAACCGGCGAAGAATTGGAAGCTGCAAGTATAGGGCACGACAATACATGACATTGAGCAAGAGACTCTGCATGTTACACAGAATTCGCTGCGAGAGTATGAAGCTATGAAACCCTGGGACAGCTCGATGCCGATATGCCAGTGGCTGCTTTCGCTGGGGTTCAGCAATGGCACTGCATGGCTATGAGTTTGCAAGACGTTTGCAAGACACTTTACATCTCCTGCATGCCATGGACCTGCCGGATGGCAATACTATCGGGCAGAACCTCCTAACTCAACACTACTGCATGAAGTGGCTTGTGACTGCATGGAATTTAATGGTGGCATGGAATTCAACAACGGAGTTTCTGACCTGTTGAAGATGCATGTGGTGCTACTACAACCGGATGAGACAATGGTTTCAGACCCTGAAGCAATGCAAGTTGGTGGAGAGGTAAAGACGAGGTTAGCAAGATTTCAACGAACAAGAGGCTCTGATCTGCATGGCATGAGGTCCCTGGAATACGGGGGTTCCTGACATATACAGTGGCGATGCAAGTGCTGGCATATGCATGTTCACAAGTCTGCATGGGCTGAGAGTGGTTGGTTGAGGAAGTGATGCCGAGTAGATTCAAACCTTTGACATTAGGGAGCAGAACGTAAGATAA